GCTGCGCCCCCTAGGGGGCACATTGGGGAACAAAATCCAGCCATGCCGAGGCGCATGCCTGCCCACCTGGTGGGGGAGCACCAAGGAAGCGACAGACGTACACCAATCCTCAGAAAGGGTCCATGCCACTGACGCCACGGGCCGCTCACACAACTTGGCAGAAATGGGGAACCCGATTAGATCAAGGGGAACATCCCACCCAAGTTAAGAGCACAACTATCCTCAGATAGCTATGCTATGTGAGCCATATAAGCCTGGATACACAAGACCACTGAAGAGACTAACTAGAAAGCCTCTAGAGGAGCTCAAAGATAGCTACTTAAATCCCGGTAAGGAGAAATAGCTGCTGAGGTAGAACACAGCTATCCTCAGATAGCTATGTTCTAAAGGTCTTATGAAGGCTTGTAGACCAGAATAACCATGCACAGCTAGCCTAGATAGCCAGGCAAAACCTTCCTGCAAAGCTGCCCAGACCACAGAGAGTGGGCTATCTACTTAAAACCCTAAGCAGGGGAGCAATCACTGAGCTTGCACATAGCTACCCTCAGATAGCTAGGTACCTAGGAAAGGGCTACCATAAGGGGGACCGACTGAGACTACCCAGACCACAGAGAGTGGGCTATATTTAGCTGTATTCAAGTAAGCCCGTCCTGCCATAACAATGCCTGTAATATAACCACCCTCAGATGGCTATACTAAGGAGGTCCCCAATCCGTGTCAGTCCTACGGTAGGCTAGCAAAGCACCGTGTCATTGACCAGAAGCTCACAAGAGGGAGATCCAGAGCATCAGTAAATGATTCGCTAAGAGCGAACACATAAACATCATCAGTCCGAGATCAAAGCCTGATGTAAGCCGTGGCTAAAACACTAGAGGGCTGGACACAACTATCACAGCTATAGCGAATAGCAGTTCCCTCAGATAAGGCTGAAGACAGGACAAAGACTTCAGCACTTACTTGAGAGAGCTTGTGCCAAGGGGAACCCAAGCCAGGCTAGAACATACAGTAGCTGCCCTCAGACCGCCATATTCCAGATCAAAGTAAGCTTGAGCTGGAGCTTAACCATCCGCAGACAGCTACACTCTGAGCAGGGACTGCTCACTTAAAACCCAGAAGAGGGAGAGCAGTGTACTCAGCCCAAACTCACTAAGCAGGATTCAGAGGGACCGCCCTCTTAAAAATACCCAGAAGCCTGGGGAGGCAGCCCACTCCTAAACCTGTCTGGCTTAATACAGGAAGGAACATTCCCCATAACCACTCTAGGTGCTGAAACTCCCTGGGAAAGAAAGCTTGCAAGCATTTCCCCACAGAGTATTAAAATATATTTAAGCCCAGCGAGGCTCTCCACACACAATAACATGCATATTAGAGCGGCACGGCCGAGTTGAATATAGCTCCGCCCACGATCTCGCAGGATCAGGCTGAAACGATTCCGTGCTCACACTTCATCGTCATAACAACCCAATAGTATCTGCAGCACCTGACAACCCGTTTAGAGAGGGTGTGCGGATCCAGCAGATCAAAGCGATCACTGCGACCTGGGATAAACTGTGCCGTGGCAACGGCGAACCGGGCCGCAAAACACAAATGCTTCATCCCGCATCCCTCGGGAATGGGAACAAACGCGAGCGGAGCCTAGACATCATGACTCATCACAATGAGCGTGTAACTCCGAACGCGCGTGCTCTTCGCCGAGACCAACATTCAGAACATTCCCTCAGGTGCTGCTTGACTCAAGGGCTATACACAGGATCGATAACCCAAAAGAGCATCTTAACCCCACGAGTCCCGCGATCCGAGTCTTCGCCGTGCCTCGGCAGCAGCGGGACCCGAACCGCAAGACGCAAACGCTTGTCACTCATCTCTCGAGAAGAGGGACAAACGCGAATAGAGCTTCTCATTGGAAACACTCACAATGAGCACGTTCAGAGCCCTTGAACACTGAACGGTCAAGCTCCTGACCAAGACACATAATACATAGATCGTGTGTCCTAAGCCGCGAATCCCGCGATCCGAGTCTTCGCCGTGCCTCGGCAGCAGTGGGACCCGAACCGCGAGACGCAAACGCTTGTCACTCATCACTTGAGAAGAGGGACAAACGCGAACAGAGCTTCTCATTGGAAACATTCACAATGAGCACGTTCAGAGCCCTTGAGCACTGAACGCGCAAGCTCCTGACCAAGATACATGACGCATAGATCGTGTGTGTCCTCAAGTGACAGTAACCTCGTGCATGGAGGCACACACTTTCCACAACGCTCACCCGCCTTGATCTATCACACGCACTTCAAACAGACGACTCCTGAAGACAGCAAAGAGGATGACGTATTCAGCAGGTGCCCTTTTATACTTCCGGGCACCCCGCCTATGACGTCATGGGCCAGGTGGACCAATAGATTGGCATTGTTTCACACATGCTTCAGACACCGGTCATGCAGGCTGCATTCCCCAATGTTTCCCCTAGGGGGCGCAGCGTGGAGTTCCCTAGAAGAGGAACTTGGTCTTTCACTCTCTTGGTCGTGTCATTGCTTAACTAGGCTGTATGCTATAAATACTAAGTTACATTTTTATGTTTCTTCTGTGTGCAGTTGTATTCATTTGTTTTAATTTCTCCACAAGATTCTCTAACAACGTCGTTTGCACTGCGCTCTTGCGTTACTTGATCTTTTTATTTTGGTGCGTCAATCTGTTGAGTTACTTAGTATAGGAAATTATGATCCGCACTCACGAGAACAATCTTCTTTTTTCTTTTATTTTACATTCATTACTGATGGGAAAAGACACAAACGTTTCGGCTCAAAGCCTTCCTCAGTGTTCACAAGATTCTCTCACAGACACGCTGAGTGAGCCTGGCGTGACCTTGTTGTTATTTTTGATTATCCATCATCAATTGCCGTTTACACCGAATGTAATAAAATCAGAATAATTCTTGCCGAAATTTCGGTGCTTCCCTATTTAGATGTTTTAATCAGATTAGTTGTCTGGTCGGGCAAATAAAATTCTCTTCTTTCACTTGCCCCTTTAAAAAATCCACTTGTCGCAACACAAGCATTACTGTCGAGCTCTGTATATAAAATTCAACCCGCCGAAGTGGCTCGTGGGAGGGACTGTGTTACCCGCCACTACTG